TCGGGTGTGGGGTGCTCTTTGCCCTCCAGCGGCCCCTCGGTCGCTAATTTGATAGCGTCAAGCTTCACCCACCAGACCTTGCAATAGGATAAGGCCAGACATGCGCCCTCGATGCAGACGGACCGCTTGACGACGTCCAGCCGAGGATAGGCATCCACTAGTCGCTTCACGAGGCCGAAGTAACTGCCGAGTATAGCTTCAGCTGGCCACAACCGGATTATTAAATCCTTCATGGCCAGTTCAGCCACCCTATGCAGCTCGACCAGCTGTTTTAGCTGATCGCTGAAGGATACCAGATGTTCTGGCGCAAGATATTGCGACCAGAATAGCTTCTGTGTGGAGCTCTCTTCTTCGGCTCGGAAGAACTCTGCGGCGTCAGCCACACTACATGGCAGATCAGTAAAAGCCCGTGGAGAACTCCTAATCCGGGTTAGTAAATGATATTTCATCTTCACATTCTTACTTTGCATATTGAATGCCTTACCCGCCGCGATCTTCATGGCCTCCAGGATCTCCTGGAGGGCGCCCTAGGCCTCATTCCGGGCTGCCTCCACATTCTGACGAGCCTTGGCGAGTTCGATCTCTTGAACTAAAGCATCACGCTCCAAGGCCTCGCACTTCTTCACCGCGTCTTCGAGCTCCTGTTGGACCTCGTTAACCCGGGCCTTGAGCTTCTTCCGAGCGGCCTGCTTCTTGACAGCCTTCCCTTCGGCTTCGACCAGGGCCTTTTTCAGGGCCTCGACCTCGGTCGTCGCCTCTGTACACATCATGGCATTTCGGTCATTGCATATCATTTTCCTTTTTTCGAATACATAATAGATTATTACTTACCTTGTTTTTCCTGGAGCTACCTCTTCACCTGGCCCAGCTCCTCCTTGGCCTCCGCCAGTTTCTGCTTTAGTACGGAAACTTCGGCAGTATGCGAGGCTGCGGCCAACAGCGACGCATGTGTTTACATTTCAGAAAAATTTAGTTAGTTTCCTACAAAAGGAGATTGATCCTCTGTCCGGCTTTTTCTTTCCGAACACCGGACAGTGTCTTAGGGGCTGTTGTCTATATTGGGATTTTCTCTTTTTTGCATCGCTTACCTCAAAACCTGTCAGCAGGCTGCAGCAGGCTTCGGTTAGTCCGCTCTTGGCAAACTGAACCCTTTCAATTACCGTGACCATAAGGACACGGTGCTCATCCACAAGGGAAGCACCTCGCAGTGCTTCCAGCAGATTATCCGGTGCCCCTGGTTGGACAGGGGTCACCAGCGGAATAGGCATCCCCCTTCTTTCGAAGGAGGTTGCATGTTGGATTCCGGAGCCGCATCGGTCTCCGGAATCGAGTCCGGCTGAGGGCTAAACTGAATACGACCCTCCCCACCAATCTCCTTGGGGATTGATTCCCCCTGGTGTCCGACGATGGGGGTTTCGCCTTATGGCGCCTCCTGCGCCTCTCCCCCACCTGGAACAATCCTTCGGGACAGCACCTCCGCATCGTCCTTGGCCTTGGGGGAGTAAGCGGCCACGGTGACTTGCTGGCCATCGCCTTGGAATCCAGTGAACCTCCTGACGAGGATCGCGGGGAGCTGTTGTGGGCCGGACTACAGTAACATAACCAATCATGTCAATGCAATGAGGAGGAGAAACTTTACGGGCCGATATAAGTCTTAGCACTTATGATGCGGCCCACGGCTTAGTGCAGGGGCGTTGCTCCGGACTGCTTTCAACGTCCCATGCGGAGATGCCCACGAGTGGGCCTTTCCCCTTCTTGGGCGCCTCCGCCTCCAGAATGGTGGAGGCCACGATCTTTTTCTTCCCGTCATCAGGGGGGTTGTTTTCCTCCTCCTCATCGTCGTCGTCTTCGGTGGCGGAGGATTGAGTCTTGTCTTAGGATGTTGCGTCCGAAGCACCCTTGCGGCAGGGGCCACTTTGGACCCCCTTGGCTTTCCCTGTGGCCTCTTCTCCGGCGCCTTGTAGGGCACCGGCACTAGCATCTTCGCTAAACGCGGGATGACTGGTTCTTCAGGCAGCGGAGCCGGACATTGGACCCGCTTCGCCCTCTCCATACAGTCCTGAAGAAATGATCACGATAAAAGGTTAGTCATCATCCTTGAAACAGGCAAGTAAGGAATGCAGTAAGAATAACATACCTCGTTAGCGAGGTGATTAATGTTATGACCGCGGTCCGAATCTGCGGCCGGCGGTGTTTCGTTACCCTTAAAAAGCAACCTCCAGGCATCTTCGTGAGTGGTTTCGAAGAGCCTCTTCAGGGCATGGTGCTTCCTCGGATTTAACTCCCATAGAGGGCGGCTTCGGCTTTGGCATGGGAGAATCCGGCGAAGTACCATCACCTGGATTATATCGACGAGTTTAATATATTTATCCACCATGCTTTGAATGCGCGTTTGCAGCGCTGTCAGCTCGTCTGGCGAACACTAGTTCGGGCCCTTCACGACCCAGGAGGTGAGTCGCATGGGAGTGCCAGAGTTGAATTCGGCAGTTGCGGCCCAGGTGGTGCCGTGGGGTTCTGTGATATAGAACCAATGTTTCTGCAATTCTTTTACAGTCTCCACGAAAGTGCCTTTCGGCCAGGAGACATTGGCCAGCTTGCTCACCATGGCGCCTCCGCACTTCGCGTGCTGGCCATCCACCACCTTCGGCTTCACATTGAATACCTTGAGCCATAGCTCGAAGTGGGGTTGGATGCGGAGAAAGGCCTCACACACAACGATGAACGTCGAGATGTTGAGGAGGGAGTTCGGGATAGATCATGAAAGTCTATCCCGTAGTAGAACATTAGCCCACGAACGAAGGGGTGGAGTGGAAACCCTAACCCACGGAGGAAATGAGGGATGAATACTACCCTCTCGTTGGGCTTCCGCATGGGAATAATTTGTCCCTGGGCCGGAAGGCGGTGGGCAATTCCCTTCGCCAGGTACCCGACCGCCCGAAGCTCAGCGATGTCCTCCTCCTGGATGGAGGAGGCCATCCACTTGCCTTGACCTCCAGATCTGGACATACAGAGAAGATGAGAACTTGGGCGCTGGAGCTCAAGAATGGAAGGGTAGAGGAAGAGAGAAGGCGTGGGTGAAGAAAAGGGATTCTTATCTCCTTATAAAGGCAGTAAATATTGAACGCCTCCCCACTCGCCTTAAAATTCGCCTACTCCCAAGGGCTATGTAAACGGCACGGTTGGGTTATCCACGCCCGTATTGATGAGAATCCCGTAATAAGGGGACACGATCTCTGCTTTGACAAGACGTGCCAATGGCAACCGCGTCTCGAAACGTGGAGCGGCAGACGAAAAACGGTTCAAAATTATGACCGGACAAATGTGATGTCATGTTACAGAAAGTTGTCAGCAGATTGGACTTGTGTGAAATTATATTCTCTCTGCGGTTGTGTGTGGTGTGTATTACAAGTCCGGACACGTCGATACGTCCGAAGACTATTTTGGAGTTCGGAAGAAGGAACCCGTCTTGCAATGCCGAAGACAGGCCTACGCGCCGGATACCTTGTCACTGAAGTCGGGTTCAGGGGCTACTGAGGGAGTCCTGGACTAAGGGGTCCTCGGGCGTCCGATCTGTTATCCATGGGCCGGACTGATGGGCTGTGAAGATACGAAGACCGAAGACTGCACCCGTGTCCGGATGGGACTCTCCTTGACGTGGAAGGCAAGCTTGGCGACCGAATATATAGATTTCTGTCTTTGTAACCGACCTTGTGTAACCCTAGATCCTCTCGGTGTCTATATAAACCGGAGGACTTAGTCCGGAGGGAGAGAGAGACATTATCATAGCCATACACGCTAGACCTCTAGGGTTTAGCCATTACGATCTCGTGGTAGATCAACTCTTGTAATACTCATATTCATCAAGATCAATCAAGCATGACGTAGGGTATTACCTCCATAGAGAGGGACCGAACCTGGGTAAAACATTGTGTCCCCTGTCTCCTGTTACCATCGATCTTAGACGCACAGTTTGGGACCCCCTACCCGAGATCCGCCGGTTTTGACACCGACAGCGAGCGCTTCCGCGTCGGCTTCGGATCCGGCTTGAGCTCGACAATGGGCAGCGGCGGCGGTGGCGGAGGCGGGTCAAAGAGCGGGGCGTGGACGGAGCACGGGAGGATGAGGCGCCAGGGGTGCACTTGCCCTTGCCGCTGCTTGAGCTGCTGCTGAAGAGGCCCACTGCTAGGGTTTGGGGTGTCGCTGACGAGGAGGCAGGAAGGGGATGGTGGGGGGCCAGATGTGGACGGAAGTGGATGAGGTCGGCCCCCGCCGCGCGCGTGGGTTAAAAAAGGACGCTTCCACTGGCTTACTAATGGGCCCGCTATCGGTGATCGTCATAAATTAGACGACGAGCGGTAGTTGGGTGGCCGTCAAGTGGAGCCGTGACAGACATCGAGGAGACGTGTGGCGCATCCGCGCCGACGCATTTCAGCCGCAATTTTGGGCCGGATATGGGTCGGCGCGGACGACTTTTGAGAATGGGTCGGCGCATGGGGCTGGTGTTTTTGTCAGTGCTGATCCAAACGGATATGGGCAGACGAAATGGGTCGTTACTCTAATAAACCCTAAAATCTAAAGATATTTCAGGGAAAAAAGTTAGTACAAAGCCGTAGGCCTTCGTCGTCGTTGGGCGGCACCGCTCACGTGGCCGGGCCGTAGCCCCTACGTATGCGTCACACGCACACGGCACACTGACTGCAGTGGTGTACTGCACGGCAGCGCTCTTCCTCCTTCTCATCCCTTCCCGTCCATTCCCCACCCCCATCCCCATCCCCGCCACCTACCTGCTTCGGCCTCGGCCTCGGCGAGAGCGCCAACGCCAAGCCCACCACTCCCAAAACCGGAGCACGCCTCCCTCCTCCCGCTAATCTTGGGTCCGTCCGTCCGTCCGTCCGTCCGAGGCAGGGGGGCGCGGGTCCGCGATCGATCGCGACGGGAGTGCCGATCGCGCCGCCGGAGGATCGAGGGCGGGCGGTTGGAGCCGGCCGGGGGAGGAGGCGATGGGGCGGCTCTTCCTGATGCACCTCGAGGGGAACGCCTACAGCTGCAAGTTCTGCCGCACCCACCTCGGCCTCGCCGCCGACATCATCTCCAAGGTGCCCCTCTGCCCGTCTCTTCCCTCGTCCGTCCCCTTCTCGGCTCTCGCGAGCGAATCCCCTTCTTGATTGCTTGTTGCGCGGGGTCTCATGGCGGATGTGACTGACAGCGGCGTGTTTTCTCCTCCTTGCAGAACTTCCATTCCAAGCACGGCAAGGCGTATCTCTTCAACAGGGTGTAAGTGTCGCCCTCCCCTTCCCTGCCCCTTGATTTCTTCCTCTGCTTTGCTGAATTTTGAGGCCGGGGGCTGCGCGTCTACCGGAATTTGTGGGGGAAACAATGAGAATCTGCCAGGCGGTTGCTCGTCTCGTCTGGGTGATTCGGCGTTGCTGCAAAACGGATTCGGACGCGGGGAGGCTCGCCTGCTCCGTCCTACAACCGCCAAGAACAATGAGGAATCTGGAACGTGTTGCCGATGCTAACGCATACGCTGCTACTCATAGGCCACAGCCGCTTTTGGGACGAGGGGAAAGTAAAATCGGGTAGGACGTTGCATAGGATGGGATCTCTCTCTTTCTCGCTTGACAAGAAATGGTAAAGAATCCAAGGGACAAGGAATGGTGGTTTCAGCCTTTTCGGTCGCAATTTCCTCTCATCTTCTTTTCATGGAGCGATTGATATACCTAGTACTATGTTAGACATTCTGAACCTGCCAAATAAGCATTGATGTTCCAGGAGTAGTTCAGTCAGGCTGGCTCCGATGCTGATTCTACTCTTAACATTCTCCATCCTGGATATAATTGACTTCCGATACAGTCGTTAACGTAATTTGCTTGCATGAACAACACTCCATATGTTTGATCTCCTGTGTGATCCCTAGCAGCTAAAGATACTTCGTACACAACCACTCAATATGTTCGTAGTCGATCCCCGATTCATGCAACTGCAAATCGCTAAAGTTATTAGCATCCAACAATACAGTGATTAGATGTCCATGGACCTTCAGGGCCAGTTTGTTGATGAGTAAAAGATACTATGTCACAACTCACCTAAACTTTTGCCTCCATCTTGTTTGCTAGATCAACAAATCAAGTATCAACTATGTAACCTACTAGTTACCACTGAATACTGATACTTGAGGCTCGCTAGTGGAAAATGGAAGGCAGAGGCAAAATATGCACAGTTTTTCTGCATTATTTGACTCTTGTTCGCTATTTACACTTGCTGGTTGCTTCGGTAGGAAAGGAGTAGGGGAGTGCTCCAACAAGATGCCATTGGGGTCAAAGAGGTTGCCACCTCAACCAGAATTATATCACCCATAATAGTTTAGGTGCCTTGTGCCGAGTTGTCCCCTTGGGTCTCTACCTGGCCTTTTTTCATTTGTTACCTCCTGACCGATTTAGGGGGTTTTCCTGAGCTTAACTCTGTTACCTCAGGTCTCCTTAACTGATTGATGTATTGGCAAAGCACATCAAAAAATACATTGGCAGTGCCCTGTTACCATTGAAACGAGAGATCTGATCTGGGTCATTAAACTGCAAATCAAGGATCTTCCATCAGATACACCAGCTCTCTCCACAATTTGGATCTTCGATATAAGCTCATCCCTAACCAGGAGACAAAAATGATAGCTTAGTCATAGGCAGGAAAACACATATCTCTGTAGGCTTTGAAAAGAAATACATACCTGACATATCCATCCATTGCCACTGTGAATACTCCAATGTAGTAGCCTGATAGATAATAATTGGCGGTTATTGTTGAAACTTCAGACGTTGTGGGGACTGTCTATCCCTCAATGAACTGAGAAATGAGAAACAACTACTCCCTCCGTCCCATAATATAAGAACAATTTTAATACTACACTAGTGTCGAAAACGCTCTTATATTATGGGACGGAGGGAGTAGTTCACAGTTGCAATCTTGTGAACTCTGACTTTCTATGTAACAGCTTTGGAAGTGTGCAACTGGCAGATATAGACTTTCTGTGCAACTATTGACTTGATAGCGTGCAACTTGGTCAAGTGAGAAATAAGTGTGGTTGGAAATAGCAATTCCACTAAAATATAAGTGGTACTGTGCTCTTTAATAAGCAGTGATCTAACATTTTAGTGCTTTCTTCACCGGTTTAGCCCAGTAACAAAACGCTGGTATTCTGAGATGAGTTGTACTGTTTACAAAACGCTATCCTCCAGCAGATTTGTGATTAACTCATGTGTCCTGTGGCAGTGTCAATGTTACATCTGGTACAAACGAGGATCGCATGATGATGACAGGGCTGCATACCGTTTCCGATATCTTCTGTGTTGGTTGTGGATCCATTGTTGGATGGAAATATGTAAGATCTTGTGATGGTTATTTTGCGATATCCTGTGCATTGCCTGTCCGTCCATCCTCTAAGCTATATGGTGCCCCTGCTCTAGGAGGCTGCACATGAGAAGAGCCAGAGGTACAAGGAAGGAAAGTTCATTCTGGAGAGGTGACCACCTTAACTAACATCTTTGTGATGGTGTTGAAACTAACGAATTCAGGTACTAGAGTTTCTAATAGTTGAACCTTTTCTTTGTGGCGGATTGAGCAGGTTTAAGGTGTCGGGCCCTGATGGTAGCCACTACTGGGGGGTGACACATGATGCTCATCATGGGGGTGGAAGCGACACCGACGACTTATGAAGCGCGACCGGCGTGCGAAAACCTGCAGTTCATCTCTGTAAATAACCCTGGAGTCGGGCCTTAGTTACTCCGGGGGGCTCGCTTCCATTCAAAAGCGCGCCCCGGCGTAAAATTGTTAATTCTAGGTGATATTCTCCCAGCAAGCTGTCTGGGAGACCTAATACCTTCTGTATATGAACAAATGTATCATTGTAGCCCCTAACAGCTGTTTGTTTTGTTGCTGGAATGCCAATAAATTCTGTTTCTGAAGTGATATAATCTACCAGGCGGTTCAACTGTGTGTTCTATTCTTTTTCTCGAAAAGGGAATTTCGGGCATGTTTGGTTGGGGTGACTTAACTTTGCCACACTATTTTTGCCGCACTTGTCTCTCTTTTTTAAGAAGCTTCCTCTTCGATTTTATTTAACTGAAACCAGCATGTCTTTTTACAAACTATCAAAAGAAAGCAGGAGTAAAAGTAGGATACCTGGAGCGCAACATAGAACTCATGTTTTGGGCATCCACAAGCCGGATCATCGCAACATGAAATGGAAATACCCAGGTTTAACAGGCATAACAGGCAACAAGTCAGACACTGCCTCTGCAACCATGAGCAAGTACCAAAAACTATACATTACTCCATTCCATAATGTAAGACGTTTTTTTTTTTGAGTCAAAGAAAGTCTTACATTATGGGACGGAGGGAGTAGTACATTGCCAACAAAACATTCCCTAAAACGCCAGCACATGAAGTCTATAGCAGAGGTACTGTAACAGACGTACTATAGGGAAGAAGCAGCAGCACTTCAAAACCATATACCGTTTTGAAGACTTCACTTACTATCCGTTTCGAACACTCTTGATTTTCCTGTTTTTTCTGCAAAATCACCCAATCGTTAAATCATTATCTACTCCCTTCATTTCATATTACTTGTCGCTTTAGTACAACTTTGTACTAAATCAGCGACGGATAATATGGAACGGAGGGAGTAGCAATCATGTTAACAACAACACAAGGTCTGTCATTATCAGACGCAACACTATTTCTTGATTTCTCAAACTGTAAAAGGACAGATGGTTTCAGTTAAATGAAAATTAGAAAGGAAGTTCTCTTTATTACTCCTTCCGTCTGAAAATACTTATCAAAAAAATGGATGTATAAAAAAAAACAGATGGTTTCCAGGCAGCGCGTGATGACGCGCGCGGACTACACCACTGTGACGGGAGATTGTTCGTGGACGGCTGGTCCTATGTCACTGAGTTCTTGCTCCGACAAAAATTGTAAGGCATCTCTAAAGCCGATCCACAAATCGTTCACATCCGTTCGAATAGCGGAAACCATTTAACATAGATCTGTATCGATTTGCATGATAGCTTGGACGCGTTTTCTCTCACATACCGGAGACAAATGTGGGGGGTTTTGCGGGAGTCCGGATTGCTCCTGCGCCTGCTTCTAACCATCCTGACCCACCAAATCCTTTCCTTCCTCGACCGCATTCATGTCGTTGTAGAGCGCACCGCTCCATATTAAAGACGGCTCAGGACGGAAGCGACCTCTCATTGCATCCGCCAATTGAAGCAGCACGCCGGCCGAGGGCGCTGCCCGTGACGCGTCTCCGGTGCCCGCGCCTGTTCAGCCAGAGACACATTACTGGGCAGGATGAGACGTATATCTATCACGCACGTTCAATGCCCCGTCCGTCCGTATGCCGTCATTAAGCAGGCTCGCCGGCCGAGAAACACACTTCGACCGCACATTGAGCACCCGTAAGTCTGGCCTCACCGGAATCCGCTATTTAAAGGCGGCCACACCCGGCTACTCCATGCCACAACACAAGCCCTCTCCCAATCCTCGTCTCTTGCACTGCATCCGCCATGACTACAGGCGACGAAGCTCTATGGGCGAGCCTTTCCGTAAAGATGAAGCATGTGGTGGTCACCCTTGTCGCCGCCTACCAGAGCCGTTGTGCCAGGCAAATCAAGGCCGGCTTGCCGGCCAGCTCGCCCGAGGTCTTCGACGACGAAGACGACACCACGATGGAGACGGGTTCCGACGACAGCGCCTTGGCTCCCGCGCCGACTTCACCATGGAGCAGGCACACTATAACGCCACCACGACGGAGGTGCAGCCTGCACCGGCGCCTATGTCGGCGTTCCAGCAGGCGCCGGAGGAACATCGGTGTAGCATGTTTCTCCTGGAGCATCACCGGCTGGTGGAGGGCCAGATCTACGGCGAGCGCACGGGCGAGGAGGCCGTGGCGGCCATGGCCGCGACGAACCCCAACTTCGATGCGAAGCAGCTTGCCATCTATGATGTCGTCCGCGCTCAAGCCGTTACTCACCAGGAAGCGACCACCGCGGAGGCGCAGCTCCAGGAGGTCGCGGAGGAGAACAACACCAGTTGCGCCTCCGACGCGTCGCTGGCGAACCGGCCGGCGGCCCGGTGGGACGACGACAGCGCAAGCGCCACCATTTCCACCGTGGACCTCATGTCCACCGGCGACGTTCAAGGCACGGACTCCTCCGAGGATGAGTAGGGCATGGGAGACGGCAGGGCCTTGTGTCTCATGTGAGCCGGTCCGTCTCGTTCTTCTCTTCCTCGCCTTAGATTGCAGCTTCACTTCATCGGTCTTATCGCTAGTGGTCATAAAGACGATGGATGGAGGACGGGAAGGGCTTGGACGCCGGGCGCCGCCGCCGCAGGATAGGTTTAGGATCGGGTCGTTTTTCTTCTAAATGTTCAAAATCTAATGAAAGTGCGCCGTGTTTGTATAAAATCTGACATTTTTATATGAAATCGTGTCATGTTTGCATGAATTTTATCTGGTTTGCTGAAAAATTGTTTAAACCGTATACGGGCACAGTTGGATGGCAGCATCTCGCATCCATGTCCGTGGACTGACTCTTCCCTGTCCGAGGATGGATGCCAGAAGAAATTTGCTGGTCGCCGTTGGAGATGCCCGGTAAGTGATAAGTGATAGTTCGAGGGAGGGTTGCCTGAATTGTGATACGTAGTATTTTTGTGAAATATACTCTACCGCCCCGCCAACGAGCCAGAGAAACAAAAAAGGTTTGCCTTGTGCTTTGATCCAGTGCTTCTCATCGAGCGTTGGGCGACGCATCCATCATACGCTTGGGAGATCTGGTCCAAGAAAACACGCCGTGCCGTGTGCACGAGTAGCAGTGATGCATCGCCATCAGCATCAGGGATGGACACCATAATGCCCTGATGGGGGGCAGTGACGCCGTGTCCCTGCCCAACCCAGCTGCACACATGTCAACACCGCCCCGACCCAGCTACGCTACGCTAGATCGGATGATTGAATGCGGCGCTCTTCTATTTTTGGTGCTTAATGTAATGTCTGCCTCCGCGTACGTACCATGGACCGCGTAGCATTTTGAAAGCAACGGGGAACACTTGAATACACGGCAACATGGGTGGGTCTTGCTGTCCACCATCTAACGTTCAGGCATGCGCCAGTGTTGCTAACCTATAAGTACAAAAATGGAAATTTAGGTAGGATACAACTATAGCAAAACGCATGCGTGCGCACTTGACAAAATTATCCGGCCATGTCGTGCATCTCCAACGCGGATCACCACATAGACATCACCAAATGTCCGCAAACCGTTCAAAACTTGTCTGCGGATATCCGGCTCGACTCCCTACGAGGCCACCAGCACCCCCGTCGTCATCCAAGCCCTCGTCGACACCGCCACATGCGCCGTTGTTGTCGTCGTCGTTGTCATGGCGTCGGTGGTGGAAGGCCCTCCAGGCATCGCGACATCCCTCTTTGGTCGTTGCCTTGCGCCGCTTGTTCTCGGTTTGGAGACAGATGGCTCGCTTAGACTCCTCCAGCCCCACTTGAAGGAGTTGGGTGTTGATCCGACGCTGATGACAGCGGCGAGTGTCCGACTCGAGGGTGTGGTACACTGGTACTGGACTGATCAAGGGCCCAATCCTTCGCAAGCGTGAGCTCTACGAGCACCCAAGTTGGCGCCACGTGGGGCTTGCGAATGCCACCAGGCGCCTTGCCACTTGGACGCCGACCCCTTTTGAGGTAGTTGTGGAGCCATGGTGACGGCTTCGATAGTAGGAAGGACGGCTCCACCTTCTTGACAGTTGGGAGGATAGGGCGTCGTGTGCCTGGCTGGCGGTGCGGAGGGGACGACGACTCCTCTTTGATGCGGCATTTGATCTGGACTCCACGGTTGCACGGAGGAGATGATGGATTCTCCTTGGCGCAACGTCCAATGTGAGCCGCGGTTATGCATAGGGGACGACTGACGCAACGCCCGATCTTGATGTCGTGATTGTGCGGAGGGGATGGTGGCACCTCCTTGACGCGACGTCCGATCTAGACGTCGTGGTTCAGCGGAGGCGACGACGGCGCCTGACCATGGTCGGTCATCGACCGGCGCATCACCTCCTCCATCTACTACGTGAACTCCTCTTCTGATCGGCTCCACCTTCACAATGGACGGAGCCGTGGATGACGACATGCCCAACGACCAATGAAGGTACGGGCAGGGACGGATTCAAGGAGGGACGAGGGGGGGGGGGGCGAGACCCCCCTACCGATCGCGTCGCCTCGTTAATAGCAATCAATTTTTTGCTATTTTTCCTGCTACCCAACTGTTCATCGCTTACGCAGCCCATCATAGGTGACAAAGGGGCCAATTAGCGGGTAGTTGCACGCAGCCACGTGGTCACGCACACACAGTTCGTGCTATGGCTTCGTTACACAGCCGCCTGCTGCGATTGAGATTCACATCTGCCGCCTGTCACTGCCTGCTATCGCCTATGCGATCTCTACGCAACTTTTTGTCGCACAACCATCAAGAGAAGCGGAGAAGGGACGGCTGTGGGCGAGCGCCGATCTGCAGGCTATTTGCCGGTAGCCGGTAGGCTAACCGCGAGGATGAGCCGCAATAAAATGCGAACAAGGTACTTTATTTCAATTGATAGATTCAGGCCTTGATGGCCCCTAATCTCGGGAAGACAGCTTACGAATGACGTT